CAACAGTGGAAAGATGAATTAACGACTCAACACGGTATAATTATAAATGGTCATTGATTAAAAATAAACCTACATATTCTTGGTTCTTTCCGTAAAGTCACGTAGAAGGGAAACAATAAAAGAATAAAAATATAAAACAATAAAATTATCACGACGTTTCGACTGCAACACAAGCAATCATCATCAGGTGTGAAAAACACAGCATGAAAATGTGTTTTTTCACACCTGATGATTGCTTGTGTTGCAGTCGAAACGTGAGAATTTTATTTTATATTTTTATTATTTTATTGTTTCCCTTCTACGTGACTTTACCGAAAGAACCAAGAATATGAATCCCTGCTGTCACGAAAGCTTTAAATCAAAATAAACCTACAGTTAATATTGGTATTTCACTGTAGCAATCTTAGTGAACCCACATCTCAGGGTGCATCCATAAAATTACAGGTGTGTACGAAATATAACTTTGGAATTTACAGACTTCTGGAGCAAGTTATGTTTGCGATAATCTATTTAAAGTTAACACGACTGAACTGTGTGCTCACTTTAGGCTGAGTTTGAATGGCAGAGGCCCAATCCACACATGTACAAAAAAAGACATCTTGTGCTAAACACTTTGTGGACATATTTTTACGTAATATTGAATTATTATCAAACATAAGCAACAACTTCTGCACGTTGAAAACTGCAGTTGTGTTCACTGCACACCATATTAATCACAGGAACACAATTACAGTATTTCACCGACTAACGCGGCTCGGCAAGCGACATGCATATAAAGTTACTGCATTCTTTATCCATTACAAGCAGCACGCCCAAAATAACAGAGGCTGGGATCACTCTAGTGACGTGTGGGGTCATTGGGAATAGATCTGTTACTCATTGAGGATGTAAGCACAAGCAGGCTTTTATTACGTTCGGGCCCAACACCTTGAAGGCCTCACAAGCGGAGCCTCGTCAGAGACGCCAAATTCATTCTTCTCTGCCAAAGGCCAGCTTTACGATCGGTCGCATTGTGCAGTCTGTGACGAGTGGCATGGAGACAGGCGGCTTTGTATGTGTGTTGATGTTGAACTTCTTTCGCACCATACGGTGCTAATCGGAGGTGTGGGGGAAGGACAACAAACTTGACACAAAAAAGCAGGTCTAAAGAAATGAGTTTTCAATCTAGATTAAAAATTGCATACAATGGCTTCCTATTATCGGAAGAGCGTTCCAGAAGAGCACAAAAGCACATCTGAAAGCGCGGCTTTGATTGTGCAGTCTTACACGGCACATTGCAATGGAAGTGTAAACATGGAGTTAATTAACCAGCGCCAGATGTGAAGCTTTGAGTCGCCAATATGTATACAATTACAGAAATTGTTCTACATTCCATTCGTGCCCAATTATTGTTCGAGTTCGTCTTAGGAAAAATAACATTTAATTCACCCTTAAACTCAACATCATTCAATGTATAAAATAAATATTTGTTTAATGTCCGGATGTATTATGTATGACAGCTGTTATTTCACATTTTGCATTGCTCTGTTGCCAATTTTCTGCAAGGGCCTTTATTACAGGTCTGAGTAGTTGCTAATGATATTAATAATCAACACGATAATTCACCACACGTAACATATGCCTGAGTGCAAACATCTGTCCTGTGCACACATGGGCATACTTGTACATCGACAATGCTGCCCTTTGTGCTAGACTGCGTGCCTGCGCATAATAATGCAGTCCTGCTTCCATGTGATCCTCTGTCATCGTATGACGTTCACACGTAGGCTTGCGGGATCTCTGTTTCGTATTGAAGTGTATTCGATTTGTTGTATCAGCCTGGCCGGCACGGTGGCAAAGTTCCTCTCTCAACTCGTAATTGGAATGTGGCAATTGCAGATCTCAGTCTGGGTTCCAATTCAGCTCACCTTTCCTTCAAGGTGGCTAGAATGAGCATAACTTCGTGGGATGTGAACAATGTTCTACGAAGAGACCGTTCCCTAATGTAGGAATGGAATTTCCACCATTCGCTCAGGATCGCCAATGGAGATTAACACCGTCAAGTGCTCTTTAAAGAACGGGACGGGGTAGGGGGGGGACAACACCATTGACTTATAGTCAACATGTGTTTACCATGCACACGCCAAGGAAATATGTTACCACTCAACAAGGGGCCATCCATTTAGTAGGTACGCAAAAATCTGTCAATACTTGACCCCCCCCCCCTCCCTGTACGCACGCTTGACGCACCCCCCACCCCCCCCCCCCGAATCCTATCGAACGGCCGATATTTAATCTACGCAGAAACGATCAAGGATTAATATGAACGCGTTTAAGCAAACAGTCCACCGCCGGACTAACGCATTTGAAGGCCAATGTAGACAAATTATCGAGGCTTCACCCCCCCCCCCGTTTCCTATGCGTACGTACATTGTCAGTAGACCCCCCCAAACGCAAGCGTACGTATTTGGGTTACCCCCCCATCCCTGCTCCATGCGTACGTACTAAATGGATGCGCCCCCCCAAGTACACACAGCACGCACGCAAATCATCCGCAGACGCACGCACTCCTTGCGTCATGAACACATTATTTTCGCACGTCTTCGCGCGTGTATTATCGGCGCGCGTACGTAATGGCTACATTCTCCACTGGCGTGCGTTCCCTCCTGCAGGGTTGGCAGTGCGATTGCGAGCGACTGCGCGCCGGACAGCAGCCCTGGCAGGGTCCTTCCTCCGCTCGCACCGCGCAGCTGGCTCGACAGTAGCGCTGCGAAGCAGAGGCACAAAGGTGCTGCCTTCTGCGGCGAACGTATTCCAAGCGTTGCTGTTACACAATGCAGTTACTTTGTTACCAGCAGTGCACCCTTGGGGGTGGTGGTGGGGGGGGGGGGGTTGACGTGTCTAGTTTAGCGGTGGTGCCCTCCCAGCCCCATCCTTTCCCTGCCAAGTGACCGGCAAAACGTTGGCACATTACTGTTATACGTGCCTGGAAATGTATCAATGCCCTGGGTGGAGCTGCATGTTGCCCAGTGAATGTTGTTTTGACAGGTGGCCCAACTGCCGTGAATATCGCACCTTGTTGATATTTTATGTTTTTCGAAAAGCTTAATGCATTCGCTTTGTTTGGCAGAATTATATGAGTGCAGTTATTTGATGCATTTCCTTAAATATAAAAGAATGAATGATGAATGCAGGACTTTATTTATACCCAGAGACAGGACTTGGCTTAAAATTCGCAATCCCTTTGTAAATAGTTATAACGCCGCTCCATGAGGTTGGTTTAAAGGTCTGTTGAAAAATCCTGCCAAGTGTTTTTAATTTGAGGTATTTTTGGGGGCTTGTTTTTGTTCCTCTTGGCATCCCTCCAGTGTCTGCCCTCAAAACATCATTAATGTAAGACTATCATTTGGGATAATTCGCTGAGATGCCATATTTCAGGCAACACTTTAATATGTTTAGTAACCAAGAGAGAGAGAGCCACAGCTTCGCTCTGATGCAAAAGAACAGTTGTTTTAGATTTCAGACATACAATTTACATGTCAGCATTGTTCGTTTGTGTAAGAAGCTTAAGAACCACGTGCAGTGAGCGACTTCCGAGACACATCGAGTAGAAGGCTTCTTGTTTATTAAGAGCACACGGGGCGATACATTATGTAACGCAGCTACACATTGGCGATCCTAACACATAGCCCATCTCCGGCATACGCTACGCTAGCTGTCCGACTAGCGCAGCGACGGCGACGGAGGGTCTTGCAGAAGATCAGCCACGTGGTCGGAGACGAAGCGATGACCAGCAGCGACGCAGCCAGGACCCGCAACAGCATCCGAACCTCTGGTTCGGTCCCCCTCTTATATGCCTCCCGGCGCGGCCAATTCCCGCCTCTGGCCACGCCCCCTTCCAGAACCTTACAGCAGGTTGCCGCAGCCTCTGGATTAACTCCGCCTTTCACCTTTACCCAAGATACGCTCCCCTTATAATGAGGCATTACGCAATACCTCCCCCCCCCCCATGACTGCAATTACCTCTTCAGGCCAACAAGTCATTTACACACGTAGGAGGGTAGTCTGCTTTCATGGACCAAATGGTGATGTTTTAATTAAGCGTCTGTTCCTTTGTTTTCTTTCAGAGATCAACGTGTGCTGTCTGTTATGCAAGATACAACACCCGCCATGCACATCTATCTCAGGATCATCTGTATTGAAACAGTGGCTCTTTTGGGCTCGATGAGTTGTTCTGTATTTTTTTCTATTCAAATCAGATGTTTCATTTGAATCATCCCAGCATATTTACTAAAATAGTATACAATGCAGTTTTGTCATTAACTTTTCTCATTGTGCATGGGGCTCGTTCTATATGTCGAGGATGGTTTTGTAGTGTTTTTTATTTTTTATTTAATTACCTGAAAATGGGGTTCTGCATCTTTTAATCATTAGTTACATATTCTAATACCGATGGTAGGGCTATACCAATAGCATTGTTATTTTTTTGAATCCTTAGCCTCGATACACAAAGTATTATGCAAGTTGTATATCTCTACCATTATATTAATGTGTAGGCACTATGTATTAACTGTATAAATGTCAGTACTTTTTGTTACTTAAATATCTCTACCTTGTATGAAATGCAGAGAATTGCAAATATATTGCAGTATTGTTTTAATAGTTAGCCCAGGATGAATAGGGGAATAAAAAAGTTTTCCAGAATAAAATTCAGTCTTTGTTGGAATGTTCTTCACTACATCTGCCAATGCCTTTTGTGCATCCTTCCACATTCCCATTGGTAATCATCACATACCTAACTGCATAAACCATTAATCTAAGCAGCCTTTGGGATACTTTTTAAATGGAAAATACTTTTCTCATGTGATGAGGTTATGTTTATTAACATTTCTGCACTCATACTGATCAATCGCTCTTCATTTTGGGTCTGTTTTGGAGCAATGCGCTGCTGCCTCGGACATGCAAGATAGTCTGGTGGCGCCATCTGGCGGAATGCTGTGTGGAATGTCAAAAAGCAGGTGGAAATCGTTTCCATTTTAATGACATAGGAAAAGCCACAGGCTGACTGACGGAAAGAGTTGTATGGCACACTAATGTGAGGGAATTCTGCGGTAGTTTACAAAACCACACTGCCCTTTTTAAATGACACAATTACTTTGCAACAAGATATCCATCCATCCCGCACTTCCTTTTAATTAATAAAACACTTAATCTACTAGAAACCTTTACAAAAACAAAACAGAAGCCAAAAGCTTTCAAAATGTGTGCACTAAGAGACATACAAGTCAATTTAGCAGCTCAGACCTACACACAAAGCAGCAGCTGTTTAACGTTATGTAAAGTGGTGTACATCAAACAGAAGATCAAAACCAATGTTTACACGCCTGGTTACACAGGGCGTTTTAGAGAAATTCACAGTGAATGTAAAATCATGGCAGTCGAAGCACTGCCGCCACTGCCCACGCTTTTGATTCAAAAGCTGATGCAGTGGAGCCTCCAGCCTCAAACATGTGGTTCTCAAAACCAGAGGGGAGGGGAATGAAAAATTCTGATTCACTGTTCAAACATCAAGAAATCAAAATCGTTATAAGCTCGTACATATATCCACTTCTCAATGAAACAATACAACACGCTGCATGCCGTTACACAGCTCCATGCAGTGACTTGCCGGAAAAGGTTTTCTTAAAGTCATTGACCTGTACAATATAGCGGCAATGTTAAACATCAAGGATAACACACTGTTGATGAATTTGATTCGAGCTTTCGTAGTGAACACCCACACACAACTCATGAGCACATGAGGCTGGCAGGCACGATTGTATGAGCTGCAGTGCAAAAGCAATCAACAGCAAAACCCCCGAAGTTTGTAGTTGTCGCCATACCACACGAAAAAGGCGCTCTTCTGCATTATAAAATCATCCATGCTCTTGCAATTAACATATTGCTTGCATAAAATCCCTCATTGACATTAAGTGCAGCACCTAACAGCAAGTTTCTTTTGTTTTTTTTGGCAGAGCTGTTCCCATCTGCAGCGATTCCTAGCCACTGTGCAGTGTAGAATTCGCCACATATGTAGCTTACCTGCAAGCACCGCATTTTTAAGTGTGGCAGGTGGAAATCACTTTCCAGCTTCAAAACATTGCTGTATGTACATTTGTACACATGGAATTTTGCAGTTTCTAAAGCATGAGAGCAACTTCTTTCGTTATTATTCAAGTGATTTTATTACATCATTTCAATGGATTCCACAGATGTCAGTGATACGTCCTTTAAGCTTTGTCTCATTTAGCTCACTTGCAGCTAAAAGTCAATGTTGGTAATTTACACAGTATCTTTTGTTTCTCTTTATACTACCCATGCACGTGCAGCTTTAGTCTGAAGCTTCCCTTTAATATACATTTAGTCTGTACAATATGCCGACTACCACATCCCACCGTAGTTAAAAAAAAAGAATAGGGACGGCAGCTGGAGAGCAACAGTATGTATGCAAGTTGTGAGTAGTAAAGCTAGATCATCACATATGGCTAAGCTATGCCTCCAACGTTTCTTCCTGGGCTGCTCTTTGGCGCCGAGGACAAGTTCGCTGCATTCAGCACTCAGGATCCATGAGGTCGTTTCTACTGGCTCGCCTTCAGGCGTGGAACACCGGACAAATGAAGCCGCTAATTTACACGTCTTCGCGTGCTCGTCCTCACGAAAACAGCTGCCACTGAGAGGTCCGCCACCTCGGCAACGTCTTGCACTGCGCACACCAATCACCGTCCTCTTCGTGCTGTGCAGAGGGCGCAGCGCGAAGGGCGTAGCGTGTCCGTGTGGCGTGCGCTGAGGCCTCATGCCGTCAATTTGAGTTGCTGTTGGAGGATGCTGCTGTAGCGGAGGAGCTGGGCGTGTTGGCGCTCGTATTGGCTGGGGACTTGCGAATATGTGGCATGAGGTACAGGTCGCCCGCCAGCTGGTGCACGTCGATGCGGTCCTCCTTCCGGTAGGCCAGGCAGCGGCGGATGAAGGCCTGGGGGTGGGAGGGGAGTTGCCACAGTCCATTTTATAGTCGAAGCAAAGTTTAATGATCAAATGGAAAATAATTTGTAGTGGCTTACAGCTCTTAGACCCAATTTGCCATGCTTGGCAATGGAAGTGTAACTGACATGCCAGATATTCTTGATATTCAGTAGTCTTGTTCATTAGTTTTCACCTAAATCACACCGTACATGGCATACAGTCATATAGCATGCAGTACATGCGTACCTTTGCCTCATTTGATACCACAGGCTTGACAGGGAACTGCACTTCCGTGGCTCGCAGTATGGTCTTCTCCTGGAGGATGTCCTGCTGCGATTGATTGTGGCCAAATGGCTGTACAAGAGAATGCACATTTTAATCAACAAGACAAGCAGAAACAAGGGTATTACTCTGCTTGTTTGAATATCTTCAGTACACTTTGTATTAACCAAGGGTATTCTTTTGCATATTGAAGTATTTTAACAGAACATTGGCTGTGAAGTATGGGGTAGTGTGTGGGAGGGGGAGTGAAGATGTTGTGAGGGTAGGAAAATATATGGTAATACAAGCATGAGCAGGGCCACTTCACAACACTAACTGCTCCCTGCACCTGCAGTAAATAAATCTGCCACGTGTAAATTTAATGTGACCTATTTCCTGTAGCAATGGTACATTTATTGATATTTCTCGAGTTCTCTGCCTAAAGTCTAGTTCTTCTTTCAAGTTTATCTTTTTTTGATATTCTGCTCACTTATTTATTTTGTAAGACCTTTATTCAAGTTGGTTAGAGTGCCTTTTATACCTCTTGGCCATTTCCATACATGCTTTTAGAGCTTTCTTCTGCAAGACTTTCCATCTGACAATAATCCTACTCCAGGTCTTCTGCTTTCGATTTTTCCCAATTTGATGTATTTCTTCCTGAATCCACTGTAACACCTGCCATAGAAAACTTAGCTTGCAACTCCTTCAAACCATCTCCCAAATATTGTCAGAACACTTCCCAGATACATTAACTACCTCACCAGTAACAACCTGCTTCCACCAATCTGCTCGATTTTCACTTTTTCTGTATAGTAAATTTAATTCCAAGATCTCATGCCATTTTGTAAAATCTTTGACCAGCTTGTGTAACCATTCTTCAGAATAGGCCATTATTATCAAAAAGTTGGCTGATTTATACCATTTGGCTCCGAACTTTTACTGCTTTCACCAAACTCCATCCACACTTCCCTCACCATTGCCTCCATGTGCATGTTAAACAGTATCGGAGATCCCCGTCTCGTTTCTCTTCTCAAATTTCTGGCTCTGATTCGCCATCTGCAGCTTCCATCACAGCTGTCTCCCCCCTGTACAATTACTTGATCAGCTGTATGTCCGTCCAGTCTCCATTGTATCACTTATGTAAATGCCAGGTTTGGTTTTTACACACCTTTCGGCCATATAGACACTGGTAGAAGATGACTCCTACAGACCACACATCCACTTTGTTGGATATCTTTGGTGGCTCCTTGCCCACAACAAAACATTCAGGAGGCAGGTACCTGAAAACAAGAAGTACAAATGTGGAGTATTTGTATCCAAATGAAGGACGTGCGATGTAAATACATCAATTGTACAAGTAATGTATAAAGCGGTCGTCTGCTATCATTACCAGTATGTTCCGGCTCCTTGCGACGTCAGGTCCATGCCATCGACGGCATTGTAGTTATCATCGTCCATGATTTTGGAGAGGCCAAAGTCTGTGATCTTGATTTCCCCACATGACTTGCCATCCACGAGAAGGATGTTACCTGGAAGGAGATAATTCATGGAACATCAAAAGGCTCACAATTCTCCACAAATCTAGTAAAAAATAAGGGTACAGCAGTAAAATATTGCAAATAGGTGTGCAAAACCACAATTACATTCATAGCGCACATGAAGGCCTATCCAATTCATTTTTTCTATATTAGCTGCATTTCATAACTAAATTGTGGGGATAAGTTATATCGACTGTGTCTCACACGATTATATTACATCTGTGTATCAATTTCACAACTTCGAACCCTACGTACCAGGTTTCAGGTCATAGTGGATGATGGGTGGCTTGATCTCGTTGAGATATTTGAGAGCACTGACAATCTGCATTATGATGGAGCGTGCCTCCTTCTCAGACATGAGCTTGTGCTGCTTCAAGTAGAAGTCCAAGTCGTTGCCTTCGATGTACTCCAGCACTGTGCAAAACCTGAACTCGTACACATACATGTCTTTAAGTCTAAGGGCTAAAGCATAGAGGATTTTGCATAAAACCTAACACAGAAGCTTTCTGAGACTCCACATGGTCTGCAAGCTGATAAAAATTTACTGATAACACCGATCCTACTGTACTTACGAGTCTGTATCCAGCGAGAAGTAGTCATAGAGCTTGACTATTCTTGGGTGATTCAGTTCCTTGTGTATTCTGTACTCTCGACAAGCGTGTCTGGAGGAAGCAGAAGAATTGTAAATGAAATCAAGTCACCAAACTTTACAATTAAAATGTGTGAACTGAAAATGCCCCGATGACTTACTTGTGGTAGTTTTCTTTCTTTTCATCTCGCCAGTTTTTGTTCAGCTGATGGATTTTCACTGCCACGTACCTCTGCTCTTGCAAGTCAAAGGCCTAATGTAATGAAAACTCTGATTAAACAGCTTGCAATAGTATCAATGGCGAAGCCAAGATTTTCAGGTGGGGGGGGCAACCCCTCCAGCAATGAAAAATGATAGGAGTAAGTAAGGACTTGTCCCTTGCTTTTTATTCGACGCATGTGCGGCGATAGTGCAGGCATCGATCGAGGGTTGAATTCGAACTGTGTGATCGGCATCGCGCTCACTGAAGGTATGCCTTCAGGGAAGTCGTGTACTGTATACGCAACTGCGCACAATTCTGAGTCACTTATAACTGCTTTGCCGTTACTTATTGCCAATTATGGACTCAGACTATTGTCCTATCATCTCAAGAGTCCCTGGCACAAAATAATATGGCTACACAGTGGCAGTGGGGGGGGGTCGCAAAATGCCGATTTATTACTAATAAACCCCAATGATCCGATCGAAATAAGGGATTTCGATTGGATCATTGGGGGGGCACGTGCCACCCCCCCCCTGGCTCCGCCAGTGAAAAGTATTCCTTATTTAATAACAATGCCGAATTGTAACCTCTGATTATTATTGCTGTGCAAATAAATCAGAGCGCTTTGCTTTTTCAATTGACTACAATTCTGAACTGAAACAGTTTAAATAAAACATTCAATAACATTTCAAAGTGTTTCTCTAAAAAAATAATTATACCTTGTATACTTCACTGAAGCCTCCCCTTCCCAGCAGATGGAGCAGCAAATACCGCTCATTCAACGTGGGATGATCTTTAAACCTAAAAAGAAAAAAAATACACTTCCAAATCGTGCATTCAGCAACCTTACAAATTTAATTCTCATATACATGTAACATTCTACTGCAAATAAAACCCATGTAATCCTGTTCTCCATGAATTTTCAATAAGCAGGAAATGTGTCAATAATGTGGCAACAAAACCCTGTAATAATAATGTGACTGCTTGTGACATTGCAAGTGTAGTGGTAGTTGCCATCAGTGCTGTATGTGTGGTGGACACCGGTGGCCGTACTCACTGTGAGTTGTCCTCATTGTGAATGCGTTTGAGCTCCCGGATGTGCAAGTTTCTCACTCGCTCCAACCTCTCCAGCTCTGCTTGGATTTCTGCCTCCTCCTTCATTTCCGCAATCGTACAAGCACACAAAGGAACACATGCGTATACATGAGACACATCAAAAATGTAAGATAAACCCAGCGTTTCTGCAGCCATCTGGAATGCTCTTCTTCTGATATTAGGAAGCCACTGGAGCTATGCACTTTAAAATCTAGATTGAAAAGTAATTTCCTTAGAACTATTTTTTGTGTTTAGTTTGTTGTCCTTCCCCTGCGTCTGCAATTAGCACGGTTGGTTATGTACGGTGCGATAGAGGTTCAACATACATACATCATAATTTAAAATACCTGTGTAAACCTCTTATGACATGACAGCAAAATAAAAATACATACAGAAGGATAAGCAGTCTCACCTTCTTGAGGTGTCCCAGTCTCAATTTGAAGATCTCCTCTTGCTCATGATACTCTGCAACTGTTAATCTGTTTAGTGAAACATGTGATGTAAAGTGTTAATCCAGTCAATAAGGTAATACAGCTTGCGTGACAAAATCTCTCATATTTAACCGACGATATACAACCCTTCACAATACGTTATGCATATTCGGACCACTTGGTGTTTTATTCATTGGAAACAAAGAGGGATGTACTTACAACTGTGGTGTGGCAGGCTTGAGGAAGCCCTCATCAGCACCATTCACAGCCTTGGTCTTCCGCTGCTTCTGCTCCCCGGCCGGCATTGGGCTGGCTGAGTGGCCAGCAGTGGGTGGCTTACGTTTGGCCAGAAGCTTCCGCTGCCTCTCAATGTCTTCTCTTTGCTGGTTAATCCACTCTTGCTGCCTTTGTGACATTATAAATGTGTATGGTATGCATCAACACTATACCAAAACACATCGGGGTACGCAGTATCATTTGATAACTTGACTTCCACGGGATGTGTATTTAGTATAGAAAGTGTAGTATTTATACTGATTAAGACTTTTATTGATAAATCAAAGTAATTTGTATAAACATTGCATAAAAATAATCGAGCACTGTATCTGTTTCAAATTACTACAAACAGTGCATTTACAAGGTTCACTGTATTATTTTAACTGGCTCGTGACCACACAGTGCTCACTTGATGAGGTTCTGGAAAGCTGAGCCATCCGTCCACTGTTCGGTGAAGGTGGCCCCATGCCGCACTGTGACAAAATGCCCGAGCCTCAGCCGGTCCTGCATGCTCTTCTCCCGGCAAGCCTGCTTCTCCTGCTCTGACTGTGGGGGAGTCACAACAATGTCAGCCCAAGACTCCTAATATGCTGCACAGCAGTTCTGCAGAACGCCACTGATTGTTAAATATGTGACTTTCACCAGTGCATCAGTGTTGATTTGAAATATGTTTTAGATATTATCCAGGACAGACGAATGTAATGCATTTCGTGTAGTACTACAGTGCAGTCCTGGATTATGGCGTCGTCTTGCATGCCACAAGAGATATAAATTACAATGCTTACAAAAAAATATATACTAAACATAGCAACTAAAACATTCTACAAATATATCAAATTGCAGATCCTTGACATTAAGGTGGTATGAACACTACATTGAGGGATCCATTTCCTTATTAAGATATGTTTAAGATCATACTTGAAACCAAAATGTAACCAACATTAATAGACTTTACAGTAATGAAAATGTCAGAAGAAAAGGTTGTGTGCTGCACAAATTAGTATCTTAGGTTGTGCAAGCATGGAAATGATATAATATAATATACCGCACTGTACATGGATGAGCCACCGAGTTTAAGAATCTTGCAATCGTGTACATTTTTAGCGATTTCATTCCTGCTGCCTAGGAAATTATAGATTCAAAATGTATAATTTAAGCACAGCTAATTGTGGCATCATTGATCATGCGGAAGAAAATAGAAGTCAGCTATATTTGGTGTAAAAAAAGATACTTTGTGATATGCCTTGCAGATTACACAGCATACTGATAACCAGTTTACTAGCTTACAAATTAGGTAATACAACTTTAAGGGTCACGTTCTCCCCATGGTCATGTGGATTTTTCTCCAGGTCCTCCGGTTTTTCTCTTACCATTTAAAAATAAATGTTTAGAGTATTTGGTTGATATAAATTTTCACATAATGAACCACTTAGTTGAGCCATAATTTATTTCCATGTTGCTTCTGAAAAAGAGATATATAGCTCAGTGGGGCTTACCTGGTAAAATAAAAAGTTTGTATAGTTTAAATAGAAAAACAATAAGGATGGATAATACAGTTTGTTCGTGTACAATACAATTAGAACATGATGTAATTTAATCTTTATGTGATTACAACACTGATGTCACGGTGTTTGGCAACCCACCAAGGCATTCATGTTACCCAGGGATAATAAAAGTTATACTATTGCAGTGCACTCCATTCATATATGTTTCATTCAGTTCGTGCTAAACACGTAGCCTACTAATTCATGAATGATGATTGCGAATATATTAACCGATTTAATCCTCACAAGATCTGCCATACACAAAACTAAATTTGCACCTAAATTCTGCCTCAGGTTAATTATCCTATGGTCCTTTTATTACCTTTTCAATGAGAAGCTTCTTGCTCATGACCACACACTTATTTAACCTCTCCTTGTACCTTTCCACCAGCTTTTGTTGTTCCTCAATCTGTCGCCTCAGGTCACAGTTGACCTAGAAACAGTCAGATATTCAGTCAAGATCATTTAAATATGTATTTGTTGCATTCTCGTTTGCACTTAAAGTACATTGACTTTCCAAAAAAACGTATGGGCAAGTGCATTAATGAAATGATTCAGGAAGCTTAAACTCAACTTACCCTTAAGAGGTCATCGATTTTCCCTTCCTTCTTTTCCAGGTCTGAGCTCTGGTTATTTTCCAGCATCTTTATCTTGTCCATTGTTATTTCAGTCTGCAGAGTAATGGGACACAAATCACAATTATAAACATGAACATTATGAAGTAAAAACAACAATAACTATTTCCTTTCTCAGAAAAGGTCAAGTTTAAAATTCCAAAATTTAGTTTTACTATTGCATATCTTTAAAACGTGCCATCCTATTGAGTTTGAAAATGGACAAATATCATGGCTTTCTTTGAAATTTGTCAAGAATGAAATTCACGATGCTCACTATCCTGCCCTGCAGTACATATTGGCCAGTAACAAACAGGCATATTAATTATAGACTTTTGATGAACTACTTACAAAACGACTGATTGTCTTAATTAAATTGTGCACGCATATTTAATTCCCAGTTTTACGGGTAAGTCATAATTTAATGGGTGATTTTATTGGAATACTTTCAATGCAGAGAAAATTATAATACATTTCGTCAAAGGGTAAATGGTTTATTTGAAGCAGCTTAGCTACTGCAGGTTTTTCAAATGAAAAGCCAACGCACCTGGATATTCTTTTGTGAGACGCAAACCGGGAAATTGCTGTGTGATGCAACAGAATGCTCCCCGAGAGTAGACGCAGATGATGGTGGGCTTCCCTGGGCCATCTGCCCAAAAAAACAAAGCACAGCCATTACTTTATTAGTTGGTGTTTCCTGCTTGGATACGATGTACAGTATTATCTAAGCTGCCCAGATGGTATAACCTCATGATAAATAAAACCATTAAGCCCTACCATTTAGAACTTAGTTGGCACAATACAAAAGGGATGTGGTGCTTACAGGTGGCTGTGAGAGAGAATGTTGTGAAGGTATCCTGGCCAGAGCAGGGCCACTTCTTCCCGGACTTGTTCCTGAACCACCTCCTGCAGCAAACTAAATGACAAGAGTAGAGCAATTAAAGAAAAAACCATGCAGGTCACAAAAACTCAAGCCACATAAACACCTTTCGTGCCTAAAAACTCACCTCAAAATAATCACTTATTTTCGGTCCTCTTGAAGACCCTTTGTCTGTAAAAAAAAAGAAAAATCCCTTAATTTGCAAAACTCCAAATACATGTGCATACCATTGCCTAAAAATGTGAATGTATATGTTTAATTGTACTCGTGGACTTGTGGGTTAATTACTTTGATTGGGATCACTCTGACCATCGGCTTTGCGCTTTCTCCCTCTGTCTTGTGATTTTTTTTCAGGGGTTTGCTAAGAGAAAAGAGACATTAAAACCAGAAAGCACTGCTAAAACCAAGTAAACGTCACACTGCAAAACCCAATTGCTTATAAAATTACACTATTTCAATTTATAATGAAGATACGTCAACATCTTAAATAAGCTTTTTAAGGATCTTTTTAAATGAATGATAAACAAATTTAACATTTCCCAACTTGCATTGTTTAACACGCTGATGAGAATGTCTTAATTTCAACACATAGTGCTGTCTGTCTATGAGCAATGTACCTCTGTTTCCTTGTCACTTAGAGAGCCATGGCTCCCCAAACTTTGGTTGGATGCTTCGTTGTTAACCTGTGCAGTCTGCTGTAAGACAAACATTGTTGGCAATTGCAATTCACTTAACATTTCAAAATCCTGGCTTAACCCTAAGTAGCCGAGATTTCTATTTTTTTCCCACTGTCCTAAAGCCTTACAAGTTAGATCATATTGTACCTTCAGATGAAGCAGAGTTTCTTTTCATTGTTTAGTGCTTATGGGTCTAATGTTCAGCTCAACACCAAAATGAAACATACATCAACACTTTAATTGTTACATATTTGCATCACTCCGACAGGATATATTAATGCTAAGCAGTGGCAATTTCAATCACATTATTTAAGAACTGTGCTCTGTGTGCTTTCAAGCACAAAGACAATATATACATTTAGAAGGTAAAATTAAACATACATTATGAAATGTCTGTAAATATATCCTTTTTAAAGGAGATTAAAGTGAATTACAGAATACAATATGCGGAAGGTGGCAGAACAAAATTGTTTTGGGAGAGCAATACAAATACACACGTCTTTGAACTCGCACCGCTGATGTTGCACTGCAGGCCGTATTACTCACACTGCAAATGACATGGCTCCATAGTCTTTGACAGGAGACGGATATTACATGTAGACTACACATCATAGTGTTCCTTACTCTAAATTTTTGGGGGCAGTATCAGGGAAATAATAAGCACTGATGGGCTAACGTGTAACCTCCACCACCTCTGGTAACCATGTTAGAAACATAACCAGAACAAAATCCCTGAAATGTACGTTAATGCAGCAAACCCATATATATACAAATCACACTACCGTGAGCAAAACATTAACTCTAGATATTGCGCGTGCCAGTTTTTCTATTAATTAAGAGTTTTGTATGTGAAAGGTAATTTATGCAATGAAAAGAAGCCATCCTAGCATTCACTACCGCATTAACCTTTGTTCTCAATGTCAACGGGAAGTGCTATAATAGTTAATGCTGCTAGTACAGGTTAGGATGCTATTGTAGTACATGTATTGATTTTCTTGGGGGATAAATAATGAGTCAGCAGTGGTGGCACCACTGAGTTGAGGTAAGCAAATCTGGCTTAAAGTGCAGATGTAATAAAATGGCGGCACAGGGAGCAGGGCAATGCCAGATTCTGATGCTCCCAGTGCACTGTCTGTCATGACAATCAGTGTCTCTTGAATCTGCAGGCAATCATTTTCAGGGGCTCCTATACTAGCATAGTGAGCATGACAGTGCATACCATATATCAGATGGGGCTGGTTTGTCACAACGTTCAGAAGGTTGGGATGCGTAATGTACCTTGAATGCTCCTCCGATAAATCTGGCTTCGAGCAACTCCTGTCGTCGAGGGTCCAGACTGTGCAGTTCTTCCATGGCACCTTGGCAAATGCACAAATAAAATCATTACTGTCAAACTGTTACATAGGTAACAAAAGTACAGTGTTGCAAACTAAAGCATTGAGGTAATTTACAGTTGGATGGGTAACCACAATTACAACATCATGAAAAATACCACTCCCCAATTAATGGAGCATGTTGTAACACTGCAAACCCATACAATCTGACATGCGCGTTTCATTTTTTATACTCTTGAGTTCAGTTAACCACAGCAATAAATTAGGGCGCCATGTTTTTGTGGACGACTGCACATCAAGGGCCCATAGTTTTCATGCCAAGTCATTCATGCAAATGTCCTCTTGGCCCTCAGTGACAAGTCAACTAGCAATGGCAACATCAATAAAAAATATAAACAAGCTATTACAAATCTTCCTTGCGCAATCTTCTTGTCATTGCGTTCTTCCTTTACTCCCAGGCACACTTTTCCATGCATAGTGTATACAATACAGTACACGCAACTGCATTAGTGTTTGGAGACACTGGCATGTGTACACGTACGACGCCTGCACTTTAATTAAAGTTGCACGTATGCATGCTGCACTGTACGCACTGTACCCCACACAAAATGCCACGCGCATTTACACGTGCATTTTTTTTTAAAATACGTGCTCAATGTAACGCGTGAATATGAAGTCTTGCAATTCAACACAGTTCAATAGTGCCTCGGCCAATAATCCTTCAACCACGTACAGTGTGCAAAGGGGGGCTATAAATGGCGATGCCACCGCTCAACGTGTGCATGGGCACAATTGCTACAGTAGCATTAACGCGCGCTGCGGTTCCCTTTTTGTGCCGTGGTCACTACATCTCTACATAAAGTTAAAACAAACAACAACAACAGCAGCAGCAGCGAGGAGCGATGGGAACCGTGGTGGGTGTGTACAGGGCGCCCTGTCCGTCACGCACACGGCATCGATTGAACTTGACCACGCCGTGACCACGGTGGGTCGTGGTCATCGTGGCCTCGGGGCTCACGCGCGAGGCATTCAACGGCAAAAACGGCCACGGGGAAAAAAAAGTAACGACGATGGGGACACCGCGAGCCACGGGTTGGCGGCGGCGGTGGTGATGGGGGGGACAAGCAGGGGTCGAGGCTCGTAGGGAGGTCGGGGTCAGAAGTATCGAGGCGTCGTCTCCGCCCGTTTGCCCGAGCCCCTGGTCAAGCATGGCTACTTTGCTCTGGCCGCAAGGGGGGCCCCCCGCCTATGGATCATCGCTGCGGCGGGTTAATTCGGGGCGAGGGCAAGCTGTGTCGCCGCACGGGCTGTGTGGTGGTGATGATGGGTGGGTGGCTCACAAGCTGGGTGTTCTGACGAGTGGTGGTTGCTTGAGGGAGGAGTGTAACGCAAGGGTGAAGTGGATGAGGGCGTGTAGGGGGGGGGGTCTGTCGGAATGGCCACCGTGGCCGAGGTGGCCCCGCGGTGGCGCTAGGAGAGGTCGCGGTCTGGGGGGGGGCCTCGGCCTCCCCGGTTAATAAAGCAGCCGCACCAGAGGGCTGCCCTCACTCGGCCACTTCCTGCGCCTACATTTGACCACCGTCACCATCATCACGACCACCATCGCTACCACCACGACTGCCGCTGCATAACAAACACGCAGATACTAAACAAGACAAAAGAGCCAAGTGATCACACTCACCGATCAATCAGCGGCATCAGACGAGGCGGTGATGCGAGCTCTCACCGCCCCTGCCTTCGTCCCCTCTCCTCCTCGAAAGCAACGTCCCCTCTTCGTCGTCGTGCCTCCCCTCGCCCCCCTAGCTTCTTGTGTTCACGTCCACTTCACGGTGCTGATGCACCCATGGCGGGGAGGAAGCCGGCTCTTCTCCCCACCAACAGCGAGCGGCTCCTCACCCTAACCCCTGCACCTCTTCTGCCCCCCCCCCCAACCCCCCCCCCCCCAAAATATATCACGAAAGCAACAAATAATCTCACTCTTGTGGCTGAGAGCGAGTGTTTGTGCCTAAACGACCGCTGCGTGCAGTGGTTAATGGTCACTAACCCCCCCCCCCCAGCTTTCGCTTCGCCTCCGCCAAGCGAGGGGGCAAGTTGTTGCGGGTCTCCTTCCCAAACGATTCTCCTCTCCACCACCACCACCTTCCTCTACTTCGCCCGTGCGTTCTTCTAGAGGCGCATACTCGTCGCCATGAGACCCAGTCTGTTCGAAACAATAAATAATAACAATGTGTCTGCGGTGAGACGGAGCGGGGCAGTGGTCACGCCGCCTATGTCGGTATGCGAGGAGGCGATGCCGCCGTACAGTGCGCGCGTGAGCGACGTTGACGGACGCGTGATCATCCAAAACCCCAATTAAAACAGCAGCAGAAGTAGCAGCAGCACGGCGGCCTTCCGCCGCCCTGACTACTGTTGCAGACACGAGAGGAGTCGAGACGGTGGAGAGAGGGAGAGAGAGCGAGCGCGGAGTCTCCCGGCTGGGGGGCCCGGCGGCGTGACCGGGGCCGTGCCGCCGCCGCCGCCGCCCGGGGCCGCGGACGCGAGGGGCGGCCCCGAGCCAAGATGGCGCCGCGTGCGGAGCGAGGCAGGGCCCAGGGGCTCGGGGCCCCTTCTCCTCAGCCTCCTCCTCCTCAGCCTCCTTCCTCGTTGTCTTCAACCTCCTTCCGGAAACTTCTCCTCCTTATTCTTCTTCTTCTTATCTTCGTCCCGTGTTCTTAGCGAAAGTCGCGTGTTGCCGGCTTCCCCCGCGCGTCGCCCAGCTGCTCGTGCCGCCGCCGCCGCCTCCTCCTCCTCTTGTGATCCCCGGTTGCTTGACCCCCCTCGTCGCCGTCTCCCTCAGCGCCCCGAGCCGGTGGTGGTGGTGGTTGTTGTTGTTGTTGGTCGAGCTGGAGATAGTGGTTGATGATGGGGGTATCACGGGACCCTCGGGCGAGGAGCCACCGCGATCCCAGCGCACGCCGCAGCCGCAGCCGCCGTCTCGTCCACTTCACCACCACCACCGCCGCCCTTTATTAATCAAAGTGTCCGCCCTCTTCTTCTTCTTCTCCTCCTTATTGTTGTTGTTGTGGTTATTCCTCTTCCTCGTCTTCTTGCCCATCACCCGGGGTGGCGACGGGTCGCCCGTGGCGGGAGTCGCGCCATCGCGTGGGGGAATTATTTGTGAGAGCGAAGAGATGAATAAAGAGAAGGGGGGGATGGTGTAGACGAAGAGGAGGATGAGGAGGAGGTGGTTCAGTTTGGTCGTGGGGAAGACGTGGTCGAGGAGGAGGGTCAATGTGGGTGGCGATGAAGGGGTGGTGTGGAGGGTGATGGAGATTGTGAGGCGATGGGAGATGATCAGAATCTGTGGAACGTGGATGAAATAGAAAGAGGTTGACGATAGAAAGAAGGTCCAGCAAAAAGGCGAAGGAGCAACGTGGCTAGTTGGTGGTCAAGGTGCCGCCGAAGGACGAAGAGCAGATGCTGTTAGAGGAGGTTCAGCAATAGATTGTATGGAGGGGGGCGGGCGAGGTTGAGAGAGTGGTGGCGGACGAAGACGGAGTGGTGGTGATGGAGGAGGTAGAGATATGATGGATGGATGAGGCCTCTGTTGTCCCATTTCACGCGATTTCGGGCCATGGTGCGGGTGGGCCGGGCAGGGTCGCGGGGTTCCGTAACCACCGGGCACTCTTCCTACAAGTTCGACACCGGGCCCAGGGGTGATTGTGTTACATCCCGTTCGCAATGTACATTAACAATTTGGGTTCACGAAGTGTCGACCACATCTGACTACTTTAATGGCTGCAGTACAATTGTGTGAAACGTGAGCATAACGTGGATGGTTTTAAAGGTTTGTTTGTTGGTAATATAGCAGAGCCAGGGAAATGATTGGTGAAGAGGGAGAGTTGAGATAGCGATGCTCCATATGGGAGAGAGACACAACGCAGAGAAGCTGTGTGTGTGTACATGATTTGGTCAAGGGGGCACTTGAAATAACCGACTATCATGTCATTTAGTTTCATGTTTCAGGTCTTTCTATGAATATTTTTTTTTAAATTATCTTTGCTACTGTATATTCAAGCACTGTCATTGCTGCCCTTCCTCTGATGTTTCTTGAACTTTCACTCTCGTCTTCCCGGCATTTGATCTTATCTCAGATGAAGAATTGCCTGAGAAGCCATACAGTCGCCTACAATGTATCGTAAGATGCATATAGTTAAGGCCATATTGGCAGATTACAGAATTAGATCATTTACACAGGTGAGTACGGCATTGTGTGCATCTATTTTGCAACATATACGTAATATTTAGTGATCGAACAAGAAACACTGATATAGCACTGATGTGTCTCATAACACAATTTGGATCTCCAAAACGTGCCACCGCATCTCAAGACGTAAAAAAAATTATGGGTATATGTTAAGAGGGTTTTAAGAAGTGGGATTTTTTTTATTTTTCTGCTTGAGGGTAGGGAATGAGAATGTTAGAGACCAGAGGGAAATTTTAAGGCGGTGGTTACGTGAGAATGAAGACGGAGGGAGACAATTGTAGAATGCATGTCAGTCTGCGGCCATATGAGGGCCTTAGGGGCCATCCATTTAGTAGGTACGCAAAAATCTGTCAACTTGACCCCTCCCCCTGTACACACGCATACTTTTTACACCCCCCCCCCCTACGAATCCTATAGAACGGCCGATATTTAATCCACGCAGAAACGATCAAGGATTAATAATATGAACGTGTTAAGCAGATAGTCCACCGCCGGCTGCATTAAATAATTAAGTTGCGTCCCTTTAAAAAGTTTGTCTATTGTCCGCTATGTTCAAGTGCCGACTGAACCCAGTCGAACAGATTAGGGGCCGCCCATAAATGACGTCACGCACCTGGGGGGGGGGGGTCAGACATTTGTGACGATGTGTGACGAGGGGGGGGGTTGAGAAATGTGACGTCACATCAAAATGCGCAACTTTAAATATAGACAACACGTTCTACTTAATTAAATAGACTTTTTAATAAATGTTTTCTACAACAGCAGAGTGCAGAGCCACATTAAATACGCACTTCAATGACAATAGTTTAAAGCGATTTGAAGCATGTTTATTTGGAGGGGGGGGCAGAGCTTTGTGACGTCATGTTTGAGGGGGGGGGTTGACTTTTTGTGACGCCGTGTGACGGGGGGGGGGATCAAAAATCGCGTGACGTCATTTATGGGCAGCCCCTTACGTATTATAGGAATTTCGTCAATACGCGCAATGTCAGGCTGAGGCACAGCTGCGTGATAGGTAGCAGTCAGAGCTGGCACACAAGTGACACCTCTCCCACAGTCCCACTTCTCCCGGTAGTACTTGTTGTCTGACAGCTGAAGAAACTGAACTGTGGTTAATTTGAAAGCCGATGTAGACAAATTATTATCGAGGCTTCACCCCCCCCCCCACTCCTCCGTTTCCTATGCGTACGTACATTGTCAGTAGACCCCCCCATGCGCATCGTACACGTTTGGGTTAACCCCCACCCCCGTCCATGCGTACGTATTGAATGGATGGCCCCTTACCACGCAGTGTTGGTCACTGGGAGAGTGAAAGGGAAAACCGTCATTGTAAAATGTTGACGTTTATTCTGCCTGTGCTAACGTGTACTCCCGATATGAGTAACCAGTTTGACAGTAATATACTGTACTCTATCTTGTAAGTGAATTACGGTTTACCGTAAATGGTGCAGGCAGGTGCGTTAAACCAAATATGGGCTATACACTCAATGGATTATCCACCTCTCAAAATAAGGGTCCGTCCATAAATGACGTCACGCGATTTTGGACAATTTTTGACTCCCCCCCTCCTACTCGTCACACGGCGTCACAAAAAGTCAGACCCCCCTCAAATATGACGTCACAAAGCTCTGCCCCCCCCCCCCCCCCCCCAAAATTCCATTTTGAAAATAAAAGATGCTTCAAATCGTTTTAAACTATTGTCATTGTAGTGCGTATTTTAATGTGGCGCTGCACTCTGATGTAGGAGAAAACATTTATTAAAAAGTATATTTAATTAAGTAGTCTATATTTATTTAAAGTTGCTCATTTTGATATGACGTCACATTTCTCACCCCCCCCCCTCGTCACACATCGTCACAAATGTCTGACCCCCCCCCCCCCCAGATGCGTGACGTCATTTATGGACGGCCCCTAAGGAACAATTCTACACATTTTGATGTTTTCGGAGAACATAACATTGTTAGCGTCCAAGGGGAAATCTGCCTCGCTTTGATGGTTGGGTTTAAATAAAGTAACCATCTATGTAGGATGCGGTAGCGCCGCATTTTGCTTTGGAGATGTTTCAGTAGATGTACTTTAAATTGTACATCGGCATGATGTGCTGGAGAGTATGTGCGTGAAATCAGTGTATATGTAAGGGTTAGGTGGACTATTAAATTGCAGGATCGTGAGAGGTGGTAGAGGTTTTGGGAGGCCTTCATCCCGCAGTGGATTGCCTGGCTTTTGTGTTTTTTTGTTATTGTCCTTCCTCCGCACTCCGATTAGCACGATTGGCTATGAACGGTGCGAAAGAAGTTCAACATATATACATGGCTGATTATGATGGTTTGTACACAATGCTATAACTTTACATGTGCATTAAAATCTGGGTCCTTGGGGAAAATGTATGCGAAGGAAGGGAGAACACTAAAATTCGCAAAAAATACAAACACCTCGAGTCATGTAATTTGACGGTGTGCACATTAAATCAACAAACCTACGCGTGATTCCATGAAATAACAAACTGGCACTCACTATGATAACACTCATTTCATGCAGGGGCTACTCTAATCGATTCTGCAAATCAATGCTACATCTAACGGCCCCTTAAAGATGTGCTTACCTTACACAATATCGATGTAAATAATGAGTGTAAGCTACGCATTAAAGGCGCAGAAAGGTGTGAACAAATTACAGACTGAAACGCCCCATCATCAACGTTATTAACACTGCCGCCTAAGTGCAAACATTGGGAACTAGCCTTTTGCCCGTCCAAGGACGGGTGTATTGCAGTAAATCTGAAACTTGCAAGCGCAAAGCAGACTGCGACGTGATGTGCACTGCATCAATGCGTGTGCAATTTGTAAGGGCGCGGTGACACAGACCTATTTCATTGTAAGGTTATAATCCCTTGTTCATCATGACGTCCTTTTTACTTTGATGTCTCAACAGCGTTACGGAGATCACGTGACGTGAGGGTTTTGCCTTTGTAGTGAGGGTTGTAAGTTGACGCCGAGGAGGGGGGGGAGGCGCCTCGGCCCCCCATGTGGAGTGACGTCAGCCACTAATTATGAATGGGGGGGGGCGTCCAATTGTAGGACGTCACCTGTTAATTATTATTAATGAGGGGGGCTGTTCGATGTGGAGTGACGTCACCTGCTCATGATTATTAATTAGGGGGGGGGGTGCTCCATGTGCAGTGACGTCACCTGCTCATGGGTATTAATGAGGGGGAGTCCATGTGGACTACGTAACCTGTTCATGAATATTAATGAGGGGGGCTGTTCGATGTGGAGTAACGTCACTTGCGCATGATTATTAGTGAGGGGGGGGGTGGGAGTACTCCATATTGAGTAGCGTCACCCGCTCATGATTATTAATGAGGGGTGGGGGGGTGTTCATTTGGAGGATGTCACCTGCTCATGAATATTAATGAGGGGGGCTGGTCGATGTGGATTGACGTCACGAGCGTTAAGGACATAAGGTATACGCTGACGTTTCGATGAGCAACTCATATGGGCCGAGGAAAAATAGGCCATTTTTATTACACTTGTTCGAGGCTCAGAGTAGTAAGAGTCACAACAATATTAAGCCACCCTTCGCTTCTGTCTGCACATTTTCCATAGCCCAGAGCTTAGATTATATTATACACATTCTGATTTGAAGCTTTCGTGACTGCAGGAATCCATACTCTTTGGTTCTTTCGGTAAAGTCACGTAGATAGAAAATTCATAGATCACGACGTTTCGATCACAACACAAGCAACCGTCATCAGGTCAGACAAACACAGCAGGAGAACTGCTGACGCAGGAGAAATAACTGCTGCAACACGAGGTTATATAGGCTTTAGGTAGGCTCAACCCAAGGGTAAGTGGGCGGAGCTAGAGATGGAATTTGTAAGTAAATGTAAGAGATTAGTACGTCAATGTGAGACGGCTCCAGCAACCAGGGGCTGTGCCAATGAGAAGATTCGTATGTCAGAGAACCGGGCAACAAGAACAAAAAACCCGCAAGAGCAACGACGAGGAGAGACCAGCATGTCAACGAGAGAGATACACATGGAGAGAGAGACAGAGAGAGAGAGACACAAGCACATAGAGACACACACAGACCATCACCTTGCCATACATAGCCGGGGTTACCAAAAAGATTTCCAAAATCTTAAAAAAACACAAGATCCAGGTTCGTTTCAACACAGTACACAAAATCCGTGATTTCATCCCATCTGTATATGATGTGATTCCTGACATGCAATACCCTGGTGTCTACAAACTAAGTTGTG